TTGTTTTCATGTCACAGATTTTTAACTAAAGCTTCACCTTGAAGCACACTTGCTGGATGGCCAGGAGGCATTCACACCATCAACTTTATCTTAATAAGACACACTGCTCTTTCTCCAAAGCCATCTATCTCTTTCCACAGAGGGAAACCAATTTCATTCTCCGACTCACAAAAACAGCTGAATGTCTACCAGAGATGTTGGAAACAGTCTTCTCAGACCAGGAATTGATAGTGAGACCACAAGCCTCATCCAAAAGTACTTGAGATGTCTGTAACCGGACCTGGACAGAATTTGAGCAAGGACTGGAAAAAAGGATCCCCTCTTTTCCATAACTATGCTAATCACCACACAAAGAGATTTGTTCACTATGCTGTGCGTGTATCTACGTTCGCATCTGTTCTCTGTCTTCTTTTCCCCACTGTAAATCTTGAATTATCTTCTGAAAAAATAGCATGGCTTCAGCAGCAGCCTAGATTAAAGGGGATGTCAGGGAAGAAGGATGATGAAAAAATGTTCCTGATAATAGAATCTATTAGGAAGCAAACAGTTTCTATCGCTTGAAATTTTGTACAGTAGAATAGACGAAGCACTGAAAGCACATGGTCAGGAAAAGGAAATGGATTGTTTAATAGATCTTTTCTATCTTTAATTTCTGTGATTCAGTAATATGAGACACTATCAAATCCATATTTAGGCTTTATTTAAATCACTGTAGTTCTAAGGCTGATTGTTCCTCATTTGCATGTCCTTGTAAATGTGAAGCCAAGATCATATTTTACATGTTTAATCTTCCTCTAACAATACCATCCTGTCAAGGCAATTTATTCCAATACAGTCTGCTCATAAAATCAATATTTCCTTTTTCATAAGCATACAAGTACATGATAAAAGGCATTTCAGTTATTTGAAGTGCCTTTGCTATCATAGAAGACAGAATAACAGTTTTGAGTGGTGTGTAGAGTGTTTGAATCATTACTGAATACAACTTAAAGATGTTCATTTGTTGCAGGGTTCTCCAGCTTGGCAGACTGCAAGCTATCCAAAGAAATGAAGATCTGAAACTTAGCTATGATACTCAGATCATGACAACTTAGTGTTAAAAAAATGAGTTTTACCATGACATTATTTCTCCCATTGCAAATTTTTTGTTTTCATCCAACAACCTTTTTAGTCTGCCTTCACTTAGACTGTAAAGACAGTATCCAGACTCAGCAACGCACTGAAATCATTTGGTTGAAATTAACTGTCAAAATTACCTGTAAAATCTCAAGAGCCAGAAACTCCACCCTTTCTGTTATCAGTCTTCCCTTGGGAAGATTCTCTCCACTCCAGAGAAGCCTGCACTTGAAGTGGAGAATTGTTCTTCTATGACTATCAGAAAGTTTCTTGTACAGTGTTGTGCAAGAAATATTTATGATTTTATAAAGCATAGCTTTAGTTTATGTGTAAGTATCTACACAAATGCTACTGTTCGCAAAACTGTTGGAAAAATGTCAAGGGGATCTAGATGCAAATGAACGTCAGAAAACACACTGATGTTTGTATCTGTACAGCTTTAAGTGAGAGCATAACAAATTTTTATACCGACTGTCAAAGCAATGTATATCACTAAATTACAGATTCATTAAAATTTTCTTCCCTTTCACCACTCCCCCCCAATCTTTCAATAATACGTAGATCATTCCATGTGCCAGCTGTATTCTGCTCATGTACTTCCTTTTCCTATGCTACCCTATGCTAGCAAAAACGATACCCTAGAAATCCTTTTCTAAAGGATTTGTCAAAACTAAAAAGCTGATATTTTGCAGGCTTAAAGTGCTGTTGTGCCTTCAGCTGTACGTTAGACAGTGAACACCCTACCATTCCTAGAAACCTTTTGATGGAAAAGCATGATCTGATCCATCGCGCATATTGAATTTTGTTTGCATACTGGAATCTAGGTGGAAGATCAGATTTGAAACATCCTTCACGAATACTGACTGAAAATTTTGTTCACATACAGCATTTTGAGATACAAAAAAATACATTTTATGAACAACTGAACGCAAAAGAGTAGCGGGGAAAGTGGAAGGCTTCCCATACTAAGAGATACGTAATAGCTGAATGGTGGCATTTCTGAACTCGCGTAAGAAAAGGAAAAAACCCACTGGCTTTCCACTATAGTACATTAAAAGATGATACATTCAGACCACATGTCCTCTGCGATACTTTACATCTTTCTATGAGCATTTAGTGCTCCGAAGGCAAAGTTTATTTTTTATTTAGGATGGTTTGGGGTTTTTTTAAATACTGTTTAAACTGTATGTTTGTAGTTACTTTATTGTTGGTTAGCTAAACCAGGACAGTTCTTGTGAAATTGAGAATTCAGGGAGCCGCATTCTGGTGACTTTCACTCTGTCTAGTACTTAGATGAACTCATCACAGCTGACTTACATGAATCAATAGTGAAATAAACTGGAAGGACCCTGATGCACAATACATTCTAGAGAATGTATTGTATTTGGGCTCCTAAATGATCTTGAAATTTAAGGCATCTAAAGGAATCCTGCTTAATCAGTAACAAATTCTTAAAACATGCAAAGAATTACTGGGATACACTGAAGTCCGAACCTGTTAAATGATTTTCACCTTGTCTAACGTTAAGCATTCCCTATTTACTTGCCTCGCTAGAAGGCTAACCTCCCTCCGATTCCTATTTCCACAGGGACACCTGATGCAGAAACCAGAACTTACATGTTCTGAATCACCCTCCACACAAGGATATCACTCTCAATTACAAAAATTATACAGAAGGAAAAGGAAAAGTAGGCATCTAACCTGAAACTGTAAATAATATGGTCCAAACACCCACCCTTCCCCTCCACTCACACTCCCAGTCCTGCCACTATATTACCTATAAGTATGTCCGAAGTATTTGAGCTCCACGGGCAGAGTAAATTTTGCCATGTCTTTAAAAGGTGTAAAGGAATAGACAATTTTCATTAATACACTTCAGTGTATTTGCTTAAAAACTCTTTCATCACAGCATCTCAAAATAATAATTTGCTGATCTAAATTACAGCTATGTCAGGGACCCCAATAGTTCACATTTTTGCATTAGTGAATTATTTCACTAAGGATGATTTTCCCTAAAGCGAAAACCCTTTTGGAATAAACACAATGGAAGCAGGTGCAAAGCTCAAACACTGTAAATATGTCACTCCTAAGATGAGTACGTTAAAAAAAAATAAAAATAAAAATTCTGTGCCTCAGCAGGTGATAAATGTCTCAGGAGGATTCCGTGAGAAAACAGGTAAAATGGGACTATAAACAAGAAACCAATAAAAAGTGACATTGGTAATTAAGAGAGATGGAAATCCTTTCAACCCTATGAATATATAGAAGTACAATGCTTAACTCTGCCTGCAAAATGACATAAATCTTGTAAAAAGTATCCAGCAGAAACTGCTAAATGGGCAAACTCTCTCATTATTCCTGTTGGTACTGTTAGTTATATTGCTGTGTCACCATGAGTCAGTCAATTATGCAGCCACTTTCACAAAGGGTTTTCATCTCAAATAATTACCTCTCTGCCTCACTCCCCAAATTTTGCAGTTTTGCTATTTTCTCATTTAATATTCATTTTCTACTAATCCTGCAATTCTAGTTTTTGCTCTTAGATAGCCTTCATCTCCAATGATTTCAATCTTAAAGTTCTGGGAAACTCTGAAATGTCGCATTCAACTGCGAAAATACATCCCGTTAATTCACATAACACAAAGAATCCGCGATTGAGTTACAGCTAGTGAAATCAGCAATTTTCTTTTAAGCATAAGCTTGTTTTTTATTTACATACTTTCTTTTTTTATTTGATTTCCTATCATAATATGGGACTGTATGACATTTTCTCCTTCAAAACACATTACTTCATTTTATGTACACAACAGAAGTATGTGATGAAGATGGTAATCAGATGAGGATCTGCAGTGATCTTTTCTGGCTGTTTTACTGCTTTCTTCTTTGGCCTACTAATAACCACTGATGTATACAGTATAAGCTCTAATGTGGTTATATAGTTATTAATTTATTTTCATGCAACAGTAATTTATCAATAATTTTTGCATCTTTGCACTTCTGTAGCAAGTTGAAAATATTACAGTACTACAAAAGATCCTCTGCTTTATTTTCCTTTCCATGTCAAACATTTAAGATGACCACTCTCTTCAGTTTTCTGGGACAATGAGTGCCTATATTTCTGGAGAAATGGATTGTCAAATTCTGAGGTTTCATATGTTGTCTAAAGGCATGGCATTCACAAAGTATGCCACTTTTAGGAAGTTTTCCCTGAATAAAACCTCCCAAATTTTGACCTTCATTTTACTTAACTAGAGAGAATATGCAATTTGTACAAGAAACTTCATATGCCACATTACGGGTGTTCTTTAATTGATTGATTTTGTCTGCTCTGCTTCATTTTGTATTCCCTTTTACATGTAGCATATTCTTTTCTAATGCATTCCTAGCAGTCCTACACAAATGTCAAGCCCAGTAAGTGTCTAAACAAATCTTCCAAACCTGTTGTTTCAGTGGATTTAAAATTTAGCTATATTGCCTCAAAATGTGAAGAAAATTTGTTGATTTCATTGTTGACACTGATTCATGGCAATCCCGTTCAGTGAATGAATGGTCTGGATCACCTGTTCAGTTTGTAAGCTGAGTCAATCACATCAAATTCACCGTTTTATAAAAACGGCCTCATGTTACACAGTGCTTCCAAGCTGGAGTTCACCACCACTTAGAGTAGGAGATTATATTAATGAATCAAGAACAAAATGGACTTAGTAAGTGCTTTTTCTGACATAACCCACCTGACTGCTGAAATGGCAAATTCACTGCAAGAACAACTTTGGTAACATTCTTCTGCTTACATGATGCCACAAGATGAAGAAATTCTCCATCAAAATGTGAAAAGTTTACGCATTTTTATAACAGCTATTAAAAGGAAAAAACATTTTACTTACCAAGCCAACTTCTGTTTAAATATACTGACACAAACACTGGAGGGACCGTGAAGAAATCTACTACTGAGTTAACTTCTAGCCAAAACCATAGCTTGTCATTGGCTGCTATGAACTGAAAAAAAAAGAGGGGGAGGGATGAAAGAATGAGATTATGCTCATGGTGGTTGCAAGTATATGTAATATTTTCCATTCTAAAATATTAAACTCCAAAGTTATTGGAGAAGTAACTGATGTTTTAGGCCAGCCCAGGCAAAACAACATGTCTCGCTGGAAAGAAGTCTGTGTTGTGCATTGCTTGATAACCACACTGAGATTAAAATGAAAGGTCTAACTAAAGAGACAGATCATTTATGTGACAAATTGTAATATCTGTGCTAAAAAATATTTTCTCCACATTTATTAACAATGTATCAGTAACATTAGAAAAGTGTAGGTAAGTATAAAATATTTCAAAGTATATCACCTTTGCTCTGGCACACCAAATATGTTGGTAGTAGTCTCATCACGTATTTGGTGTTCACAGGTTTCTAAATACATGATAGTTTACAAAGAGTCCCATTACCATCCTATCCAGAGGCAATCACCAGAATGACTCCTACAAGGCATAATTCAGGACTGCAGCAGAACTTCAGTCCTTCCAATTGTGCCATAGATGAGGTCACTTCTCTCTCCTGACTAAGAAATCAGCCTAGGGAAACTGGCAAACTTCGATGCCAAGGACATCATAGTTTGAACTTGCCTATTCATCTATGTACTTAAATAAGGTCAAACTACTATTCACATTTAAGTAATAATTAAAACATATGCTTTATATAAATATGAAATCTAAATATATAAATAAATATAAAATTTTTGTGCATCACAAAGATATTTAACAGAGCGGTTTTACTCATGTAAGTCTTAACACCTGGACTTACATATTTCAAAACAGTGCTTATATTTTTTGAATTACAGACAATATCCATTGTCTTTCTTCCAAAGCAAATACTGACATTCTCCAACTATTTCATCCACTTAATCTCCTTGCTTTAGAATTACTTTAAAACATTAGCAGAAAATGTTTATGGTGCATACCAACTTTGCTGGAATCCCAGACAAAATATTGGAAAGGGGACTCTACTGATGTCAATCATGTTGAAATCATACTTAAAAAGAAGACGGACAACATGAGCAGCATTCGCCTCAGAGAAGACTCAAAACAAAAAATAAACTGACATTTTGTTAGTCCGTATTACTCAATATCAACGCTGCAGCATGAAAACTGAACAAAAATATCCAGTTTCAGCAGAAGCTTTCAATTGCCTTCTGTTGAATTTAGAAGTAGTCAGAATATTTGGAACTAAAAGCTTTTTAAGATGTCAGATCACTATTTTCATAACCTGCAATATATGTTCTAATCAGCATTTTATCTTTCCACAGGGCACAACCTTTAAGCTTTCAAAAAGGTTAAAGTGTGTTATTCAACAATGAAAACAAAGTCTGTTGACTGTAAAGGCCACTCATGGAATTATTTGAACAGTTATTCATTTAGGTAATTAGCGACTAATAAAAGCCCATTTCATTACAGAAGCAATCCTACCATGCTTGAAGAGATATCATGTTCTTCCAGAAGCACTAGCATAATTCTGTCACTTCCAAAGAAGGATTACTTCCATACTTGCCATATCTCTGCCAGACCTTACTGCTTGATTATGCAGTTTGGGCTTAGTCTTCATCAGCAGTTTGCAGACTTCACTTCTGAGTTCTCACATAGTTGGATACTAGCCAACAAAGATTTTAAAATGGATAGATGTGTGTTTGAACACAAATATCTTCTAGAACTGAAGATATGGTAATATTTATATGATTTTGAGTTGCAACATCATTTCAGGGAGAACAGATGGAGAAGGATGAGATTTTAAAATATTTCTTCAAATACTTTAAATTGCCAGTGAGTCCTCACAGGAGATATTTATCAGAAAAAAAAAAAAGATGACCCCAAACTAAAATAGCTAAATGTATGAGATGCTTATTACATAACTAGCAAATTCATTATCGATCCAATTCTTGCATCCACACAACCAAGTATCACCTTTTCCTCAGGAACTCCTGTTTAGATCAGCAGAACTTCTTGGAGAACTGGTTACACCTATATTAGCATTTTAACTTAGATAAGGAGTACCAATCTGAAATGAACCCTTATCAACCCCACTTACCATACTTCAGTTTGCATCACAAAGCAGTTTTGGATAACACAAAGATTTGTTGTGGTTGAAATTAAAACTGAAAAAGGTGTTCTAGCAGTGCATTTCACACACCGGAACTGCTAAATTGCGTTCAGTCAACAGGACCAGAGGAGACTCTACAGTACTCCCTCTCCCTTCTAAAAAACACACCGTGTGGATATGAAAGTATTAGCATCAACTCTCAGTATATTCTCTTTTATTGTGCTCTGCTTCTTGATAATGTAGCCTAAGTTACTGCTTTGAGTAAGTAAGAGTGGCCAATACGTAATTTTAATTCTTTCAGTAAGAACATACAACCTTATCGCTAGCACAAAATTTACAAAGCGTTTGGAGACTTTTAAAAAAAGGATTCTTGGAAGTTCACAAGTACCATGCATTGAATCTGTTATGTCAAAAAGTTAGCCAATACTGCAGGCCTGCTGGACATCTACAAAGGCCCCCTAAATCCTTAAGAATTAGGGGCTATTACACTATATGCTTTTAAAATACCACTTAGAATGCACACATAGTAGTGTAAATACTGAAGGAATTTATCTATTTAGCTAACGGATACACACACACCTAGACTGGGTAATGAAATAACCTAGATTTGCAACAAAATTCCTTACTGGATCATCAGAAAAAGTTGGTTAAGTTGGTCGGAAGTGAAATAGGAGGAACTCAACTATCATTGTGACATAGGAGCTCCTGTGATTCGGGAGCAAAATGGACAAAGGAAGATCACGAGGCAATACTTGTATCGAATTTAAAGACCAATGTGGCAGGCTTTCTGCTCGCATGAGGTTTTCCTTGTAGTTCTGTTATGTTTGAGGCCTTTTTTGCCTCATTTTCCAATTAACAACAAGCAAAGTTAGTTTTCAAAGCATATTTAAAAAAACCCCAAACAACCAAACAAAAAAACCCCCGACAGCTTGAATTGCAAGCATTACGGGCCCAAACTTTTAGAAGTGCCCACCTGTTTCAGGTGTCCCAACTTTTAGATCCCGAAACAGCATTACTGGATTTTCAGAAAGTGGTAAGTGTATTCTAAGCATATACGTTTCAGCATGTTGACTAGTATTTACAGCTTCTGCAAAGCATTCATTAGCAGTCTGGGAAAGTGGATCTGCATAAAACTGAATACAGCAGCTCTACCGGCTGTTATCTCAACCTTCGGCTGCCAAAGACTTATCTAGCAGCAGAGGAATACATCAAGTATTCACTAGCGTTGCTGAGGTACTTATCACTCCATTGAGAACACTGAAACTAGATTCGACGTCACGGACCAGCACTGAACTGTAATAGTTTTCACTTTCTACCACACGAGAACATTCTGGAACAGACGGCTTAGCTTATAAACTATTGGGTCTCCTTAGTGATCTTAGATGCTTATTATTATTACCTAAATGTTCTCAACCAAATGCTTTGCTCACTCATTTTAGAAATTAGCTTAGTTTTCTCCAGCCATTGTAAAGTCCGGCTGTATGCAAAGACTCTCCCTATCTAATAGCTACCGCCTGTCTCATGCTATCAAAGACACACTACTTACACGCAAGCCGAAGTAGAGTAGGAAGAACACATTGAAAGCCATGTCGATCTGTAATGTGAAATCTTTGTAGAAATTCTGGCAGGATTCTATTGGTCTATTTGAAAGAAAAAGAAAACGGAGTAAATTGTCAGTATATGAGTTTCTACTCTGGTGAGATTTGTATGCGTTTCATTAAAGACCTTGATTCAGAAATCACATTTCTGTTTTCCAGTCGTTTACAAGATACAAGCAAGCATTTCAAATGAATTATTTCATTCATTCAGTTAGTCATTCATACAGTCTTTATATTCACCTGTTCAGATAATATCTGAGAATTAACATGCAGATAACCTTTAAGAAAGGACAAGCAGGAGAATACCTCAGGATTCCTTAACCCCACATAACCCCTTAAAGAACTGACTTCTTTCTACAGGAGACATACCTATGATACTTTAGGAACAAACCTAACAAGCACACAGCTACAGTGAAACATTACATGTTTTTAATTCGTGTCATAATATAAAACCTTAAAAAAAAACATGTAGTTGCTTAGGAATACATTACCCATTAGCAACCTGGGGTACTCAGTCTTGTAGAATCCCTTGTTTATAAGAAGTTGATTTTGTTTTTTTTTTTTCCTTTTTCTCACTTCTTTTTTTGTGTATGACTATTTAATGTACTTTATGTACAGTACTATGAGCTGAGTAGAAAAGCAGCATAGCCCACTGGTAAAATTAAATAACAAAATAAATTGAGGAATTTGAAGCAGTACTCTAAGGGTTAATTTCTGCATGCAGGTTAATTAAAATACCTTTGTGTGTCTCAGGCAGCCATTGCAAATTCTAGCTTATACTATTATGCTTTATTTAACGGTGGGACAGGTCCAAAGCATACTCTATACAAACTGGTACTTTATAGATATACTTTTATCTAAGGAAGGAGATAACTTCCATGAGTATGATTAGTGATTTATTTGCGAGGTTTCTAAAATAGGTTGGTGAAGCCACAGAACAATGTTGAAGTCACAGACCAAAGTGAAAGTCATGTCCCAATATACGCTGATGTATATACTATATATACATAATGTCCCACCATATATACACATACATATATTGCAAATGATCATGTATTCATCACAACTGTAATAAAGTGGAAAACTAGAACGTAGGTCATCTGATCATTTGGAACCCTAGAAAACATCCTTTCAGGAAAGAAGAAATTCTTTGGCTTCCCAGGTCAAATAAATCACTGAATGTGAATGTAATACCAGTTAGTATAGCGGTAGCTCTGCAAATAGAATGCTAAACTGCTCAACAAGCAAGATTCTATGCGTTATGAATGTCAGTTACCTAATTTAAGGCATAAAGGAAATTACCTGGGCTACCAGGTCATTACACATGCAGCCAAATTTTCCATTCCTTGTATACATTTCAGGTCAAACAAGTTAAGTACAGCATGCCCTCTCCTGTCTTTAGATGCATGAATGTATACAGCAAAATTCTCCCTGATGTACAAGAGCTTTACGTTTTAAGAAGCTTCAGTGCTATAGGAAATTATATTAAAATGGTTTTTAAAAGCTGTTTGCAAAGGCATTGAAGTTATGAAACATTTCTGTTACAGTTCACATAGAATTGATTTACAAAAGCAGGCAGAAGGGAAGAGAAGCCAAACGTTAACATACAGGACGGAAAACAGCACCTCATACTTTACAAATACAGCTTTAGCTCCAAAAAGAGTGGATAGAATCTGAGAACCCAACAGGATCATCTTCTGTATGGCATTATTGAGAGCAAAGGATTTTGTCAAAATAAGGTAGGCTACACGCTGAGCCACCATGCACCCTATCAACAGAAATCACAGAAAGTACAGCAGAAGGAGAATGAACAACCCTGCACCAACACAGAGGCTTGGACCCTTAATTCCGGGTTAGGTTCCTGTAAAAGCTGCAGAAATTCACCGCAGCTAATGGAATTGCACAGATTTATAACTAGGATAGAGAGCTTCATTATCTTCCTTTCCACAGTTCCTTGGTACTTGTCATGACTGTTAGATAAGGTCAGCTGAGGTTGCAGCTAATGGCTGTACTTTTGTACCATTGTCCTTTACAAAAAAAACCCCTACAAGATCTGACAAATTAGCTAATGCATAATACATCTTCATCTTGTTCGCAAAACACGTAGCACAGTGGACCACCATCCTGATTTGGGACTTCTGTTTACCTAATACTAGAGCTACTTTTTCTGCTAGTCATATCCCTAAAGCGTCCTTCATTTCAGAGATCACTTCTCTCTTTCAATTTCTAAGTTATCCGTGTCAAAGACAAACACAACGTCCTTTCCTCTTTATTTTACATGATGATTTTGTCCGAAAGGCATGTCACTAAGGCTAAAGAAATGATTATTTATACTCACAGGATGGATTATACATGATTTTAAATTTTCCAACTTAAATTTTGGTGATATTCTTTGGTTTGGATTTTTTGTTTTCATCAGTAGCTCACATTTGGCTGAGAGAATTTGGTTTGGATTTTTTGTTTTCATCAGTAGCTCACATTTGAGCTGAGAGAAAAATATGGCCACTAATCTTTACCATTGCACCGTTCAGCCTGCTGCAGAAAGGCAGCCAATTTGAAACTCCTCTTTACATCAAGTTTCCCAAAACCACAAGTGCTATAGTTCTTAGAGTTCCAGACAATAGTGTGCTGGGGTCTCCAGGACTAGTAATATATTCCCTGTTTTAAACTAACATGAGATGGCTTGTCCTATGGGATTTCACCCCTTTAGGTCAGCAAAGGTTTCACCTTTGATGGAAGCAACAGACTGTTAGAAATGCCTTTATTACTCTTCCATGTAAGTGTGCTTCATTGTAAGTGTGGTTTTATGCATTTATACTGCTAAAAAACAGGAGAAACTACACTAAAGTCAATGGAATAACATTATACTAATAGTAATAGGAAAGATTTAACAAAACTGGATAAAAACTACAGTAATGATGTAACTAAATGCAATATTTATGTGCGCTTTGAAAGAGCATCTTTAATTTGCTACACAAAAATCGAAAAAAATCCGCTGCAACCATGACTTCTTGTATTTTGAAAAGAAAAACTCATAGCAGGAATTTTATTTCACTTAACGTAGGGATATCCTGCTGATAATCTATCAAGGACTGTAATTCCCCTTTGCCCTGCCATCTTTTTATGTAATAAACTAAATGCTACAAGCAATGCCTGGGCTACACAAACAAGATTTGAGAGACTGACAATTTTCTTCAGGTCAACGTTTATATCAAGTTATCATCTGCCGCAACTGTGTGCTCTGTGCTACCATTTAATATAAAAATCGCATCTAGAGAAATAACAGTGGGCTTAGTTTGCCTAACCTGCAGTGAAGACAGAACCTTATTTGATTTTTCAGGCATGGACTACACTCTGTTAATTCTTTTCCTTCCTCTCCTGCTCTTTAAACACTGCTATCTGTTTCAGTTTCACATTACCTCTATTTACTTGTTCTGTTTATTATTACAGCAATACTAGTAGTTATAAAGCCCCGTTATACAGGTGTCATAGGCATAAACTAGTTCAGTGAGCAAGAGTGACTACAAGAGGAGTAACAAAATTACTCCAGTTTAACTTTACTCAGATGGGGCAAAATTTTGACAAGGTGTTCCCAGCATCCTTAAGCCTTTTTTGCAATCGACCTGAAGCCAACACTTTACATGACACTTCTACCACAGCTGAACAAATGAACGAACCCCTTGTCACTTCAATTCGAAAGAATTTACTCCTGTTTAAATAACTACTTTTGTCACAAGCTTATTTCATGTATTTATTTATTATTCTCACTTATTTCTGGTTCATTTGGAATACTTCTAATGCATTTGAAATGGTTCTACTGGGATTATTCTTTGAATAGTCATAGAATGAGTGGGAGAGGGCAAAAAATGGTATGCATTTTAATGTTTTCTGAAATTATTTGTTTCTGTGAGAATATTAATGTGAAACTTCCCACAGAAGAAGCCTTCATAGAATATTTCCAGGATTCTGCAATTGCAACAGAGTTGAAAATATCTTGAGTGTTTTTTCCTGTATCATTTCACCTCTTGATAGGAGCTGTAAAGCCCATTTCCAACTTCAGATCAAAGCCTTGGCACGACATATCAATCCATGTCACAGTGCAATCACTGCCATTATGACCACACTGAAGTAAGGGGAAGAAATTCTACGTTCATTCAGACTTTAGGCCAGCTTTGCAATCACGGTGACTTCATCTGGATGATTTTACGTAAGATGTTCCCCATAATAATGGGAAAGGTTGTGCACACCCAATTCGGTACTTGAAATAACTATCCAATATGCAATTTACAGTTCTCTATTCTTCCTGTGTAAGGAAGTGGACTCTTGTATTTTTGGCACATGCCATGTCAGTCTGCTCCTAATGGTTTTTGCCTTTTTTTTTTTCCTTTCTTTTTAATAACAAGGCCTGCAAAGACTATGAGAGATGTCAATTTTTATTTATGTATTATTATATACCAAAATGCAAAAGGTTAATTTTAAGACATATTAATTTAGTTATACTTTGCCAAGTGTTTTGAAGATAAGAAGTTCTATGTAAAACATCCATAAACCACCACAAAAGACAACTACTTCTACTGCAACTTCAGGAAAGTACTGATGTTAATATTGTACCACAGCTGCTACATCTTTGGAACTTTAAGAAGTTATTGAACTTTTAGAAATTCAGAGAATTGTCCTAATTTACAATTTTAATATTTGGAAGCAAAGTTGTCTTCTGAATGGTAGAGGAAAAGCTAACTCCATTATTGAAATTAGCTAAAATATATTTTAATTCTTAATATTAAGTAAATAAAATATAAAATTGAAAAAAGTTGGAACTAAAAACAAATTGTTACAAACTTAAGGTTTTAAGAAAGAAATACAACAACCTGATACTACGAAAAATTAGGAAGTTTTTAATTTTCTTTGCTCATGACAGTTTTTAGATGGCACAGTAGCACATTCTATGAAAAAACAGTAAAATGTGCAGTTTCTATCAGAAGCAATGTCCATTGATGAGACTGAATTTTAAAATCAAATTATAATTATGTACAAGTAGAGGC